CTTTTAGCTGCCAGCCCTGGCCCATCATGTAGGTGCAGCAGAGCCTTCCCTACCATTGCAAGCAGGGGGGGAGGAAACCCCCCGCTCTGCTGGCTGCCCTGCAAAGTGTGCAATTGCACGCCCCCCCCCGCTGCAAGGAGAGCTGCTGCAGCAAGTCAGGAAAACTCCAGTTGCACGAAGATTGAGCGCTTGCAGTTTGCATCTTTGTTGCAAAACTAGCTCCAGAAGAGAGGCAAGGCAAAGTCTTTTGTGCTCCCCTCCCCCATCAAAGCAAAGGGGAAAATGTCTCAGTCGAGAGGTAAGGCTCCTACTTCTGTTCGTTGCAAATATGCAAAAAGTCGTGCATGCATTTTTAAGTGCATGCATGCATTTTTCGGGATGCAATTGCATTTTGAAGTTTGAGGCTTTCAATGGCTCTCAGTTGCATTTCCTGTTTAGTATGTGCCTTTTTGCAGACACACACACACTCACACACACAGTTCCTGTAAGGCAGGGCTTGCAGTTCAGCTGTGCATTGACGTTATTTGAATTCTTCTGCGGGGATTACTGAGCCCTTTTTGCCTTTTGCACAGTCAGGACAGATAAAGGGTGTTGAAGAGCAGATGCATTCGCTACTGTATATATGCATGCAAAATGGGCACAATGCATACGAATTGCAGCTAATTTCAAGTGCAAAATTAAATGAAACTTTTACAGAAGTCCGTGGAGGAGATAAAAGGTGAAACTTGAGTGGAGTTACGAGGAATTAAATATATACCTATGTTTCCATGGGAAAGTATTGTTCTTGTGCCAGGACTGAGATCATTTTCCACTGATTTCTCCCCCCCCCCCCCCTTAATATTTGGTAACTTTTGGTCAGAGGCAGCAGTGTGGTTTGTAACACCAGATCGCTAAGAGCATGCAGAAGGGGTGCTTTATTTAGCATTTAGGAGCAGGGGCTCGGCACTTTGGATGGAGCGGGAGGGGCGTATTTGGGTAGGGGACAACAGTGATTTGATTTTGATTTTTTTTTTTCTTCCCCCCGCGCGGTGGGGAAGGCTTGATCTTTGCTTTTTAACTTGATGATTATTCCGGAGTGGCACTGCCTTGTGTCCTGCAAGAGGGGTGGTGGGAGGAGGTGGAGAATTTAATATTGCAAAAATGCTGTGGGAATGCAATAGTCCCTGCAAGACCAGGCTGAGATGTTTAAGGAGGAGTTGCTCCGGCCATTCATTGTGAAAATAGATGCACATATGTCAGCGACTGGCCACACAGATGCAGCTTTCGGAGCTTCTTTTAAATGTTTGGATTTGATATTGCAGCTGCCTCTCCTTGCATTTTGCAGCCCTCGCATGTATTGGGGGGGGTTGGGGGGGTGGGGGGTGAGAGACAGTGCAGGGCCCAGTGGGAGAGCAGTTCCCAAACTGGGACTGGGGCTTTTTGTTGTTGTGGTGTTCGGTTTTTTTTTTTTTTTTAAAAAAAAGATCTGTGAAGTCAGTGGCCTTCTACTATAAGCCTTGCTGGGAGGACATAGGAAGGAGGTGCTTTCACAGCTCTTGCCACACAGTTTTCCTTTGTAAGAAAAATGTAAAGTTGTTGTATAATTTATTCCTAATTTGGGTTTGCTGCAGTCATCTTTTCCAGCCAAGCAGAGAATTGTAAAAGTTTCCAATAGAAAGAGCCAAGGAAGTTTGATAATGCAAAATTGAATCAAATGATACCCACAGCACGCTGCCGCTCGCTGGAGGGTCCCTGCGAGACCCACGGAGGGGCAGGGGCTGGGCAGGGGAGTAGCCGCTTCCCCGGGGTCCCTGGAAAGCCTCGGGGTGGGAAAGCCTGACCACGTGGAGCTGGTGATGGGCAGGGACCTGGGCTGGTGGCCCCGCAGCCCACCCTCCTGGGGTGCCGCTTAGCCCCCATGCTCGCCAGCACTGGCCTTGTCTGTCCTTCTCAGTACCAGGAAAATGGGGAAATACAAGTAGCCAACCCACAAAACATGATCTCAATGAATGGCATCATTCTTGAATCTGTTTTCCATCCATCTCACACTCTGCAATACGAGTGTCTAAGTTTGAATTCCTTACACAGATAAGTTTTCCAAGTTCAGCTGTTCAGGCGGAGGTTTTGCTTGGGAAGGGGTTTCAGCTCCGGGGGTTTGCACCAGAGGTATCGTTCTTCAGGATGAATTAAGGGAGGCATAATCTGCATTTCAGGATCAGCTTTCATGTGTTGCACAGGAGGTCCCTCGTCAGCTTTCTAAAATACTGCACAGAGCTTCAGCCAGCTGCTGAGCTCTGGAGCCCTCTCCCTACTTTGAATCATTTCCAAAGTTGTTCTGAGAATTTGCCAGAGATTAATTTTTTTAATGCTGCTTGTCAGGGGGACAGTAATCGGGAGGGTTATTCTCTGATAACACTTATTCCCTGCAAGCAATCTCACCTAGTTAAGAGGGCAGAACCGCTCCTCGGACCCTACCTGCGCCACGTGAAGGAGCGGACGTGATCTGCTTTCTGCACAACCATAGCATGGGCTGCAGAAGATCAAACTCTCCCTGGAGTTTGGAAGCAACAGTTTCATTCTGACCCCTTCCACAGCAGAAACCAGCAGATGCCTCCAGCATCGCTCTTGCAGTATTCAGCCACGTTACCTGTGCCCTGTTGGACTCCTTAAGACTTTGCGGTCAACAAAGTACAGATCAAGTCAGAAGGACACCACCGGGTGCAAACTCCTGCATTTCACCCCATGCTTCATTCCCTCTTTTAAATTGCAAAATGGTATTTTTGATGGAGCAATCCAAGAAAATAAGATTTCCCCAAGCACAGCAGGTCCCTGCAGTCTGTTTCTCACCTTCAGAGAGGAGTCCGCTCCGGACAAGTGGGACTTGATGTTGATGGTAGTTCAGAAGAAGTTGCATCGTTGCCAAAACGTGGCACATTTGGCTGTCATGACTAATAGGATATTATTCTGGAAGAGAAAAAATGCGGAAGTCCATATTAATTACAAGCTAAACACAGTTTGAGGCTATAAATCTGAACTCTCGTGACAGCAGATACATTCAAGAGTCTTCTAAATTCATTGTAATGGGGGAATTATTCACTCATGAAGCCCACATCAGAGAAGCAACCTGCAAATATGCAAATTTCTCCATTGAAATAAGAAAAGGGAAGGAGGAGCAGTTCCCATTAGAGCTGGGACTCTAATTCATAAATAGTACATGGAAATGAGCTACATTTAACTAAATATTGCTGTCCATTGAGCTCATTCCTAATTCTTGGACTTTGTTGTTTCAAATACAATTTTTTGTGCTGTAGCTGAAAAGGTATACTGAGGTTATGAGAATCATGTCCCACGTGATGCTGGCTGAACGGGCACCCTATGGACTTTGACCAAAGGCCCTGCACCTATTCAAAAATACTACATTTTATGCAAAATGCTCTTTTTTTTTTCCCATCTAGAAGTCTCAGTGGAACAGATGTAAAGCCTAAATGGTAGCTTTTAAAAAAAAAATTCCTAGGTAGGTGGCAGGTTTTTGCTAGTATAAAATTAACCCGTAAGCAGCATGAGGCTCCCGTTGGTTGTGCAATGTGCAGTTTGCCTCGTCAGCACCACCTCAGC